CCCTTTTTTCTAATTTTTATTGTTCTAAACCAGTCAGTGCTCTAGATGTACATTACTACATCCTTGCGATCCGTCACCCGCTGGCTGCGCCAGTGAAGAGACAGTCGGCGAGGATGGTTTATGCTCGTCGCACCGCTTGCGGTAGAGTCTGCTGCGAGCAAAGAAAATCTTTGCACCAAAGATATTATTGTCACTGTAGAGAAATCTAGGTATCGTTCTTCCCGCACAAGAAGAAAGGTGCATGAAACTGCTCTTCGCAGCACCAATTTGGTGCAGGCTAAAAATTTGATCCAAGTTTCCGCGAGCCTATCTACTACACTAGTACAGTCTACGGCAAGTCAATGAAGAATGGGTATCGAAACTGTTGTCTCCCTCTATTGTGTAGCAAGTAGCAAATCCTGGTGCTGCACGAAGTAATTAGAAATCTTGAAATCTTCTCAGATGGTGAGCATAGTGAGTTGTTAGTATTTTTTCATTTTATAGCAGCTTTAATGCGGTTTCATCCAGTAACAGTTGTAAATATCAATAGATGTAGATTACGGGATATCTTGCTGATTCTAATTGACTTTCTTTAGAATTCTTAATAGTAGCTACTAAGCCTATTGTCCATTTGCTCACTTTCCAATTATGCACCACCTTGTCCGCAACCCACGCGACGCCACTGATACATTGTAATAAAATATGGTCAATGTTTTCATAACTTTTGACCTTTAAATGTCCGTCCCTGTAACCCCCAATGTCACTTTGAATCACGTACGCTTTTAAGTATTCAGAGACGAGGTTTTGAATATTTACGAATAACTTGCAAAAATTGTCCAGACTTTCATATCTTTTAATCTATAATATATCCCTTTTACTACTAACAAATCTTTTTACTTTAAATCCCTTACTGTATTCAGTATTTAATACTTTGTAATCAACAAATGTCCACATTTCCATATATTTTAATCCAGAAATGTCACTATAACTACTACCATATGTTATGTTATGCTTGGTGTAATCAAATTGTAATATCGTACTCGCTTTCGTTGCCTTTGATCTATAAAACGCCCGTCCCTGTCACTACCAACACGCCCTCTTGCTTTAGATGACTTACTCTTCTAAGTAGTTCATGTCTTGTCATAACATTGTCATCATTTCTATAGCTTTTAATTTATAATAAACGATTTCCCGTTTACTTCCAACATGTCCTTAGACTTGAAATCATTAACTGGACAAAGTATTTTGTACCTTGTAATGAAAATTTGAAAGAGGACGGAAAAAGTAATCAAAATTTGTACACGTTTTCGTTGCCCTTTACTTATAAAATGCCCGTCCGTCGGTCGTTACCAACATGTCCTATAGCTGTCAATCATTTATTTTATTATATTAATATTTTAAAAACAAAAGTCAGTCTCGTTTTCATGGCTTTTGACTTTTTAGAAATACCCCTGTAACTACTGCACATCTTTCGACTTTGAATCACTTTACGAAGTATAATTCGATTATTTGCTATCAAAAATAATTATTTATTGTCCACATTTTCATAGCCTTTTTACCTGGAAATGTGACTATAACTACAACTACATCTTTGAAACTCTCACTTTACAAGGTATCTGATACCTTGTAATAAAAAAATGCCCACATTTTCGTAGCCTTTGACCTATGAAATGTCCGTCCCCGTTCCTGTCACTAGTGACAGCCCTCATGGCTCGGAACAATTACACTACCTGTTGTAATCTGGACCCAGAATGTCGTGATTTCCATGCTATGTTGCAAGCTGTGTATTATCTTGTTTCGTCTAATTTCTGACTTTCGGGAGGACAGTCGAACCTGCACTAATGGCCATCTGCATTAAGAGACAATCAGATTTACAAACGACCACTTCTCACTTCCCAGCTGTAGATTTAGTTTTAGTAGAGGTTTTACGGCCCTCGCAACTGCATAAGGTCATATGACCGCCAAGAGGTGGATGTCAACAGAGAAGTCCTTACAGGGAATCAGACTTACTCTGCTCACCTCTCTAGCTTCAACTGCACAAAGTCTGCTTCGACTATCAAGGCACCCCGGAAATAACGGGTCACAAGAGTGTGACAAACATACAAAAGAAGTAGAGGAAAATGACGATAGTAAGGAGTAGTAAAGAAAAGGCAGCAGTCCCCTGTTGCAGTTCAGGCACAGTTATGAGCATGATATTGATGAATCCGCCCATTAACAATCTACAAGTCTATTGGGCATAAGAACATATTAATCCCCCCCCCCCCCCCCCCACACACACACCTTTTTGGAATGGCCTAAAGACACTTCAGTCAGTAACACCCCCCCCCCCTGGGGAAAGGGGGGGGGGGGGGTTCCAGCTTTGATTTCATTCTTCTTTTAATTTTTATCTTATGACATTGTCCAAAAAGACCACCTGTCTAAGATGTTAACTCATCTTCTTTTCCATGATTAGTCGTCTTGGGCAGGTCGATGGTATTTGTCGCAACTGTCAAGTACTGTTGAAAAAAATATTATTACATTATATCCGTGTACCAGAGAGTTGCAGTTTTATTTTGTAATAACTCTCGATTTCTCGATTCGAATTTAGTATGTACTTTCAAACTGGTGAAATAGAGTTAATGGAAGATAGAAATGTTGAAAATTGTGAGTAAAAGTAAAGGAAAGCCTCCCCCTCTATTTCAAATTGTTTAACGCAGTGCATATTACCCGAGGTCAGGGTAGTGTTCAGGCTTTTGTTTGTAGCTGTGTGTTTCTTGTTAAGGTTATTGACATTGTTGTTGCTCTTGTTGTTGCTGTTGTTGTTGTTGATGATGTTGTTGCTGCTGCTGCTGCTGCTTTTGTTATTGTTGTTGTTATTGCTGCTGTTGTTGTTGTTGCTGTTGTTGTTTTTTGGGTGGTTGTTTATGTTGATGTTTTAATGCTACCATAGACACAGTTTAAATCATTTAAGAGAGGGGCTTCTACCATTCCTGTCAAGGTGAAATTATTTTGTTGCCAGAAAAACATCTGTTGCTGCCGGAAGAAATGATTTTGCTGCCGGGAAAATGTGTTTTGCTACACTAACTTTTACCATCCGCCAGTAAGACAGGAAATCGACCTTTGTCCTAAATATTGCCTGGGAAAGCAAGCTGAGACTAAAGTGCGGACAAAAATTTGTGACGCAACTTTTTGTCAAATAGTTCCTAAATGTCGAACATAGACACTCCAGTTTTTGCACCATGACTTGAATCAAATTGTCTTTACAGATCAATATTTTTGTAAACATATATCTGTTAGGCGTATTCTAGAAAATTCCGTACAAAAAAAAAAAAAATTCGAAATGTGCGATTTCTTCAGATATTGAAAGGTTTACAGCGGAGGCAGTATCGCTTTTAAAAGCAAGTCCGCCATGTTTTTCCAACGGTGACATTATGCTTATTGAACACATATTTTGAGAACCCTTAGGCCTAATGCAAAA